CTCGGACGGCCAGGCCGACACGCTGCGAGCGGGGCGCGGCCAGCGAGAGCGGCCAAGGGTGGGCCGAAGAGGAAGGATGCAAGGGCAGCCCTGGGAAGTTGCTCATCCCCACCATGCTGGCTGACTGCACCCAACTCTCGGATGAGCTCGTCGAGGGCGAAGAGGCTCGCCGAGGCTGGCACTGCTGCGCGGCGGCGCGGCGCCACTCTGGCGAGGCCTCTGCAGCGAACCCGCGGGGGGCCTCGGCGCCGCGGCGCGGCGTGGCCCGTCGCCTTTGGCAAGGGCCTCCGGGGCGTGTGCTCCCAAGGGGCTTTCGCTGCCGCGGCTCGGCGCGGCGCGGGACACCGGGGAGGACGGGCCCGGGGAGGGGCCCAGGGTCCAGCCTGCGGGCCAGAGGGAGGGTCGCGGGGGAGGCCGCCTTCCAAGAGGGCAGGGGGAGCTTCCTGGAGCTGGGCCGGGGGCCAATGTTCGAGGGTCTCCTGGGAGGGGCTCCCGCCATGGGGGGGAGGGGGGCCGAGGGGGACGAGGGCGCGGGGGGGACGAGGGGAGAAGTGTTGGAGCAGCAGAGGGAGGCGATCGTCGTCGGCCAGCGGCTTCGCTCAGAGCACGCTCGGTTCAGAAGGACGAGGAGGACGCAGACATGTGGTGTCCCAGCTTTTGCCAATACGGGGTCCCCCGGATCGACTCTTCATCCCCTTCCCCCTTGCCCCTGGACCGACCTTTCATCCCGACCCTTTCCCCTGGACCGACGGTTCATCCCGAGCCGTTCTTCGAGGGCCCCGGGGCCTGGCGAGGGACCCCAGATTCCGAAGACGCCCAACCGTCCGTCGAGCCTCTGTGTGTTTTTTGACGCGAACATGTCTGGGGAGGGGGGTGCGCGCTGCCCGGGACCTGCGCGGCGGCGTCCCCCGCGCGGCCGGCCATGTCCGCAAGAACCTGCTCCGCAGTGCCCGCGGTGGCCGCGGCGTCGGGCGGCTGCTCCACAAGGCCGTCCATCGTTGGAGAGAGGGAGGGGAGAGAGCAGGGGGCCAGGAAGATGATGATGATGATGCTGCTGCTGATGATGCTGCTGCTGCTGCTGATGATGATGATGAGGACGCTGCTGCTGCTGATGATGATGACGATGACGATGATGATGATGATGATGATGATGATGATGATGATGATGATGATGATTATGATGATGATGATGATGATGATGATGATGATGATGATGATGATGATGATGATGATAATGATAACGATAATGATGATGATGACGATGACGATGATGATGATGATGATGATGATGATGATGATGATGATGATACTGCTGATACTGCTGATGCTGCTGATGATGCTGCTGCTGGTGAGAATGATGGTGATGATGCTGCTGAAGACGATGATGATGGTGATGATGATGATGATGACTCAGATGATGATGACGCTGATGATAATCATGGTGATGCTGATGAAGATGATCATGGTGGTGATGGCGGTGGCGATGACGATGGTGATGAAGATGATGATGATGATGATGATGATGATGATGATGATGATGGTGATGATGCTGATGATGATGATGATGGTGATGCGCATGATGATGGTGATGATGATGATGATGCTGCAAATGCTGATGGTGATTATGCTTATGCTGATACTGATGATGATGATGATGATGATGATGATGATGATGATGATGATGCTGATGGTGATGATGATGATGATGATGACGATGATGATGATGGTGGTAATGGTGATGGTGATGATTATGATGGTGATGATGTAGGTGATGATGGTGATGGTGATGAATTATAATGATCAGCATGCTGAAGATGAAGATGAAGAATATGATGATGATCAGGAGGAGGAGGGCGACAGACCTTCGCCTCCCCCTCATGCGCTTCCTCCTCACTGCGACTTCCTGCTGATCTCCTGCTCATCCAAGACCCTCTTATCCACCAGCCCCGTCTCCTCCCTCCCTCTTCCCGCCAGTTCCCCCCACTTCCCCTCCTCATCCCTCTCCTCTTCTTCCCCCTCTCGCCGCTCCTCCTGTTCTCCGCCTCCCCTCCTCCGCAAGCGCGCGTCCCCGCGCGCGGTGAGGAGGAGCCACGGACCTTATTGAGGGGCTCCGAGCCGAAGTGGCTAGTGACGACGTGGATGCAGAATGTATGGAAGTACTGGCCCAACACGTGTGGAAGAAGTCGTTCTGAAAACCAACCCGCGGCCCTCCCTCACTCAGCCTGGGTTTCCTAAGTTCGGGGGTGCAGTCTGCTCCGTGGTCAATGCCTCGCCCACAAAGACCCAAACATCGGGCGCCAAGGTGTTGTCAGTGGTTGGCCTCCAGAGGCCTGGGTCTAAAAACAAACACAAGACGAAATGACTGCCCTGGAGAACGGGTCACGAGGTATGATGTGCCTCCGTACCGAACGGACACAGGCGAAGCGCCAGGCATCTGGGTCCTGATGACGCCGCCCACCTAAGGAGACCCCGCCCCTGCAGCTCAGCGCTGCCTCGCGGGCCAGAGTTGCACGCGCGGTGCCACCTCCGCCCAGGGCCCAGCTCACCAGCGAGCGTTACCCTCTTGATGTGGTGTCTCTCGCCCAGGCTGTCCTACATGGTCCAGATGCAGGGATGATGAAAAGTGCCGGCTCCCCCACTGAGGAAGAAAGGCCTCCCCCATGCGAAGCGACAGCTATGGAGAAGAAGGGAGGGGAGGAGACGAAGGAGGCCTGGATCACTTGCCTCCACCTCCTCCTCGAGCCTCCTCCTCTCTCCTCATTATCCTCCTCCTCCTACTCCTCCTCCTCGTTCTCCTCCTCCGCCTCCTCTTCGAGCCTCCTACTCCTCCTTCTCCTCGACCCTCCTCGATCTTCCTCCTCGATCCTCCTGGATAATCCTCATCCACGAGCCTCCTCCTCCTCCTCCTCCTCGACTCTCCTCGATCCTCCTCCTCCTCCTCCTCGATCCTCCTCCTGCTCGATCCTCCTCCTGCACCCCCTCCTCCTCCTCCTCCTCCTCTGGAAGGCGGGCCCCGATGAGGAGGATGAGGGGGCGGAGGAGGAAGGGGACGAGAAGGAGGAGGAGGCGGACGAGAAGAAGGAGGAGGAGAAGGAGGAAGGGGACGAGAAGGAAGAGGAGGAGGAGGAAGAGGAGGAGGATGAGGAGGAGGAGGAGGAGGAGGAGCAGGAGGAGGAGGAGGAGCAGGAGGAGGAGGAGGAGGAGGATGAGGAGGAGAAGGAGGAGGAGGAGGGGGAGGAGGGAGGAGGAGAGGCAGCAGAGAAGCTGACAAGCTTGGTAAGGCTGGCGCCACAGGCCGCCCCTGCCCCTGCAGCTGCTCGCTCCGGGGCCTTCCTAGAAAGCCACGCGCTCCGCGCAAAGGTCGCTGCTGCGTGGAGCATCCATCGACCGGAGTCGAGCTGGAGCCGAACCGGAGTCAGACAAGAGTCGAACACATCCGTCGGGTGGGCCCCAGCACTCGCTCCGCCCGAGCGTCGCTGCTGCGTCGAGCATCTGTCGACCGGACACGAGCTTGGAGCCGAGCTGGAGTCGAGCTCGAGTCGCACAGATCCGTCGGGTGGGCCCCGGGAAGACCTCCCATCGTTGCACCCGCGGCAGGCGTGCTTCCAGGAAGCTCCGCTCACCACTCTCAGAGGAGTCGGCGCCCGCCCCCGCCCCGGACACCTCCCAGGGCCCGTCCCTCGGGTGCACGCTGATCGGCGGGGAGCGAGGGGGGGGAAGTGAGAAGGAGAAGGCCTTCTCAGAAGGCGGCGGGGCTTCTCAGAAGCCCTCGCGCCTTCTGAGGACTTGTCTGCACCTTCGGGGAAGGCTAAGAACACTGCTCAGGAGGCCAGGGAACTTCCGAGCCTTCTGAGAAGACCCGCCCTTTCTGACTTCCCCCCCTCGCTCGCCGCCGAGTTAATGGCGGGGACGTGAGTTCCCCAAACGAGGCAATTGGAGGCGAAAGCCCTTCTCACCTATGGTAGGTTGCTCGATGTGGAAGTTTCATTTCAGACGGCGGATCGGAAGCCAGTCCAGGGGCAAGGGACTCCCCTGGACTGGCTGCCGAGCCGCCGCGTCCGGCCTGAGGCGACGAGGGCCCGCGGGAGCGCCCCAGAGGCGTCCAAGACGATGACGTCGATGTCAGCCTTCTCGAATAGGCGGTAACTTCTGGGAGGTCGTCGTGAGAGCGAGTCAGGATCAGCAAGCCCGATAAATGGACCACTGATCAGGACCAGTCCAGCTTGAGCCGAGGATGAAGCCCGGTGAAGCGGGACTGAGCGGAACTATGAGGATTATATGTGCATGTGCTTCTTTAAACAACAACTAAAGCGGAACTATGAAACATGATGACGGACATACAGTCGGATCTAAGCCAGAAGAACATTCTCCAAGAACGTGCGACCCTCTGCCAGCCAGAGCACACAGAACATCCGGGGGTACCCTCCCCAGGATGCACAAGGACATCCAACAAGCACGACGAACATGACATTACTCTCCCCGAACGGACCTTGCTCTTATGCCTCTGCCCGACTGTATGATGCACATCCCAGTGCCGATGCTGAATTGAACCTCCCAGGGGTTGCATCCTCATCTTAGGCGGCGCGCCCAGGGGGGAAATGAGAAGGGGCGGGCCTTCTCAGACGGCTCGGAGGTTCCCCGGCCTCCTGAGAAGTTTGCTAAGCCTTCCCAGCAGGCGCAGACAAGTCCTCAGAAGGCGCGAGGGCTTCTGAGAAGCCCCGCCGCCTTCTGACACGGCCTTCTCCTTCTCACTTCCCCCTGGGCGCGCCGCCGACTGAGGTTTTGGGGTCATAATTCGGGTCTCCAGCGGCCGTTCGGGATGATCCGGGCATTTCCGGAACGCCCTCGGCGAGGCGCAGCTGCTGGCAAGCCTCGCGAGGCTGGAAAGCCGCCGAGAACCGACGAAAACGCACGAAAACCCCCGAACCTCGAACCCGAAAGTTTCCCCCCCCCCCCTCGCTCCCCGCCGACATCTAAATGAGCCCCGCGTCGGGCCAGGCCTTGACGTCTCCAGGTCCACCAGGAGGTCGTGGTTGAGCCACAGCTGCAGGCGCCCGCTCCAGCCGTACCTGCACTCGAGCTCGTCGCCAACCTTCTCGGGCGCCGAGGGCGACGCCGAGGCCGACGCCGACGGCGGCGACGCCGACGACGACGCCCACGATGCCGACGCCGCAATCGCCCCGGCGGCGGCGATGGCGGCGACGACGCCGACGTCGACGCCAACGGTGCCGACACCGACGCCGACGACGCCAACGGTGGCGACGTCTGGCAGCAGCGACCTGTCGCTGCCGCTCGACGTTCTTCCCATCCTTCGCGCACCCCCCCCCCTCGCGCGGGTGGAGGGAGGAGGGGGGCAGGAGCAGTGCAGTCTGCATGCTGCCACAAGCAAGGCCAAAAAGAAGGGACGAAAGGGCTTTTTCTGGCCGCAGCGAACAGACGGCCACGAGTAGCCTACCCGAAACCTGGATGTGAGGACCCGCCTGAGAACGGGGGCCCATCTAAACCCAACGTAACTACTAGTCCAGATTTCGTAATAAAAGGGAGGCGGTCTGGACCCTCCAAGACAAGCCATTTCAGACCTCCCCCGTGGGGGAACCCTCCAAAACATCGTCCCCAGACCCCCCAGGCCCTCCAAGATAGCCTGGAAGAGACCCACCCCCGAAATGAGACCCCCTCCCTTTATTACGAAATCTGGAGTAACTAGTCCTCGTTGCTCATCGCCTCCTCGTTCCAGCGTCTCGATTGCAGGAGGTGCTGGAGCATGACGACGGCGTCGACGACGACGACGACCTCTCGTCGGCCGCGCCCTGGCCACCCTGGGAGGCCCAAGAAGGCCCAAGAGCATCAAACAAAACTGCAACCTGCATCCTCGAACCCCGACGCTCCATCGACGGTGACGTCAACGGTAAGAACGTCGACATCGATGAGAGGCTCGTACGAATATACTGAGGGCACGTCGGAGTCCCAGGAAATCTCAGGACAGGTGCAGGAAGGGAGCGTAATGAAAGGGCTCGTCGGGAGCTCGTAAGAGGCCCACGGGACTTGAAAGACGCTCCCAATGGGCTCGCAAGAGGCTCCGAAGGAGCTCCAAAGTGGCTCATTCGGGGTGAGGGAGGCCAAGTCTGCTGTCTTGCAGCCAGACGCTCCGTTCTCGTCCTCGCGCTTCTTTTAGCTGCGACGCCTTAGGCGAGCACCCGTCGCCGCGCAGTCTGTGCTAAAGCATGGGCGACAACATGCAATAGCAACAATCGCAAAGTAAACAGTTGTTGAGAGAGAGAGAGAGCCACAAGCAGGGGAGCCCGCAAGGACAGCTATAGATGCGGTGAACGCTGTAACGAGGTAAAGTGGGACCCATGGGAGCATAAAATTCTCACGCTGCTCCTGCTCCTGCTCCTGCTCCTCCTTCACTTTCTCACCCACCATCCTTCCTGCTTCCTCCCTTCACCTCGTCCTGGACCAGGTCCCCTGAGGTTCACGGAGGCCTGCGAAACCCGATAAAAAAAACACATACATGATGCACACACACACTTTTTGCGTCGGCGGCTAGGCAGAGGGACTGCGCTGGGGAGTAACACGCACACGCCAACACACACACACACACACACACACACGCGCGCACACACGCGCGCACACACGCGCACACACACACACACACACACACACACGCGCACACGTGTTGGCGGTAACGGCCTCGAGCGCAGCGACAAGGCGGCGCAAATCGAAGCACAGTGCACAGGACGGCCAGGCCCTCCAGCACCGCTTGGGACACACGCACGCTCACGCGCACGAGACGCACTCGAGCAGCAGGGGGCGTCTGGACTGCGAAATGCCGCTCCACGGATTGAATCAAAGGCCCCCGCGAGGGAATGCGGGCCTCGCGCAGCAGGGGCTGGAGCAGGACGAGGGGGAGGAGGGGGGATGGGCCCTCTCCCTCGAGGATCGCTCGGCGGAGGAGGGGTGGAAGCAGGGCGAGGAGGTCACCAGAGGCCACCGAGGGACTCCGATGTACGAGACGTGCTCAGCACGTCGACGACTTCGGGGTGAAGGGAGAGGCAGGGAAGGGAAGGAGAGGGGAGGAAGGCGAGGGGGACAATAATCAACGTACAGTAGGGGCTCGACCACGAGAAACCTTCCGCAAGAAACCCAGCCCCGAGAACCCAGGACGTCCATGGACTGTTGGTGTGGAAACGTCACGCTCTCCGTAATTAGCAGAACCATCGACACCCAAGAAACCCGGGGCGCCCTGGAGGCGAGCAGGGTGTTTCTTCCGACCAGCCACAACTGGGGGAGCTGTGGTCCTTGCCCCCCTGGGGGAACGCATCGCACCGACGATCTCTCAAGAGGGGTGCCGAATTCGATGGGCCCCCCAGGTGGGTAAGGACCACAGCTCCCCGAGTTGTGGCTGGCCTGCTCTTGGCATGGGTCTCCACTGTAGACCCGAGAGTCGTCAGCGGTGCTGCAGGTGCACCCCCTCCCGTCGGGCGCAGCATCGTGCGCCGGGTGGGTCGGCCCGAGGGTCCGCCTGGTGCCCCCCCCCGTGGGCGCTTCGTCTGCGCCCCTAGGGCGAGGAGGAGGAGATGGAGGAAGAGGAGGAGGAGGAGGAGGAGGAGGAGGAGATGGAGGAGGAGGAGGAGGAGGAGGAGCAGGAGGAGCAGGAGGGGGCGGAGGAGGAGATGGAGGAGGAGGGGGAGGAGGAGGAGGAGGAGCAGGAGGAGCAGGAGGAGCAGGAGGAGGAGCAGGAGGAGGAGGGCCAGCGGAGTGCTCGCCGGGTGCCCTCCGGCGGGCGCCTCGTGCGGTCTCTGCGCGTCGGCCAAGGCTTCGCCGGGTGCCCGCCCGGGGAGGCGGCGGGCGCCTCGTGGGCGCCTCGGGGGCGCCGCGTGCTCCGGGCGGCCGCGCGGCTGGCACCGCGCAGCCTCCGCCGCCTGTCTTGCAGCCACGCCGCTTGCACCCTCACAGCCTGCACCCGATTGTCCGGACTGCGAACACCCCGCAGCTTGAACCACACAGCTTGCACCGCGCAGCTTCCACCTCGTGGGCGCCGCGTGCTCTGGGCGGCCGCACGGCTTGCACCACGCAGCCTTCGCCACCTGTCTTGCAGCCACGCAGCTTGCACCCTCATAGTGCGGGATGACGATTAGGAAAAACAAACTGGGGAGAACGATAAAAAAAAAGTTTTCTGCTACCTCTGCACAAGTCTCTGACTAAAGGAGAACGGTTTAAACAATAGTCTTCCAGCCCGCGGCCGGTTTTTTCTAATCGTCATCCCTGGCGCCGCCGCGTGAACACGACCCCCGGTCATTTATTAATCGTCATCCTCCATTAGCCTGCACCCGATTGTCCGGACTGCGAACACCCCGCACCTTGTGAACCACACAGCTTGCACCGCACCGCTTCCACCACACGGCTTGCATCGCACGGTCGGCACCGCGTAACCAACGCCTCCACGGCATAGCGAACACCGACCAGCTTGCACCCTCATACTGCGGGGTGACGATTCATAAAAAAATGGGGGAGAACGATAAAACACATAATTTTCTGCTATCTCTGCACGAATGTCTGACTGGAGGATAACGATTTAAGAAATAGTCTTCCAGCCCGCGGCCGGTTTTTTCTGATCGTCATCCCAGGCGCTGCCGCGTGAACACGACCCCCGGTCATTTATTAATCGTCATCCTCCATTAGCCTGCACCCGATTGTCCGGACTGCGAACACCCCGCAGCTTGTGAACCACACAGCCTGCACCGCACAGCTTCCACCGCACGGCTTGCACCGCACGGTCGGCACCGCGTGACCAACACCTCCACGGCATAGCGAACACCGACCAGCTTGCAGGACAGAGCTTGCACCACTCAGCTCACATCACGTAAGCTGCACACCTCATGGCGTGCACATCCACCATGGCAAAAACTAAAACAACAAAAAAAAAAAAAAAAAAAAAAAAAAAAAATAAAAAAAAAAAAAAAAAAAAAAAAAAAAAAAAAAAACAAACAAAAAAAAAAAAAAAAAAAAAATAAAAAATAAAAAAAATAAAAAAAAAAAAAAAAAAAAAAAAAAAAAAAAAAAAATAAAAAAAAAAAAAAAAAAAAAAAAAAAAAAAAACAAAAAAAAAAAATAAAACATTAAAAAAAAAAAAATAAAGAAAAAAAAAAAATATAAAAAAAAAAAAAAAAAAAAAAAAAAAAAAATAAAAAAAAAAAAAAAATATATAAATAAAAAAAAAAAAAAACATAAAAAAAAAAAAAAAAAAAAATAAAAAATAAATAATAAAAATAATAATAAAAAAAAAAAAGCACATCCAGAGAGCAACAGCTCACCGGTCGGGGTCCACGCTGGAGTTGCCCACGAGGCGCCGGCGATGCGCCGCGATCCTCTGACCCCATCTACTCGGCCCCAGTGTGGGAGGCTTGCTCAGGGGGGGACTTGCTCAGGGGGACTTGCTCAGGGGGACTTGCTCAGGACGAGGAGGAGGAGGAGGAGGAGGAGGAGGAGGAGGAGGAGGAGCGATGGAGTTGGATGCGAGGAGGAGGAGAGGAGGAGGGTGTGAGGATAGGTGGGAGAAGGAGGTGGGGAATGAGCAACGTGCTGGGGGGGCTGGGACTTTGCTCAGGGGAGGATGGATGGACTGGAAGAACCTGGGAATCGGCCGCAAATCGCAAGGACTGACCAGTGAGGCAATGCCCCGGCCAGGGGTCCTGTGAATCCGCACGTTAGGGGCTATGGTGGGGCTGTTGGACCCCCTTTCGACGAGTCAACATTCAAGTGGGTTTTCTTGTTCTGCGTTTTGTGGGGGTCGATGCATCCCACCCCCCCCCCCATAAGCTCCTCTCCTCTCCTCCTCCTACCTCCCTTCCTCCTCCCACTTTCCTTCACCTCCGCGACAATCTCCTTCCTACTCCTCCTCCTTTCCCCCCCCCCATAAGCCTATCCCCCCCTATCGTTGCCCCTTGGTTTTCGGGCCGTACCTCGGCTCTCCGGCGGCCGTTCGGGGCGATCCGGGCATCCCCGGGACGCCCTCGGCGAGGCGCGTCTGCCGGAGAGCCTCCCGAGGCTGGGAAACCGCCGAGGACCCGCGAAACCCACGAAGACCTCCAGACTCCAACACCCTCGAATAGACGGCAGTCCAATCCCGTGCCCGTCCCCCGCCCGCCATCGTTGCCCCCTGCCAGGCGGGCGAGAGGGCCCGCAGGCACTGGGGGCCAGGGGGGGGGCAGGCCCCGCCCCGCGCCTCGAGCTGGTCCGGTGGCAGCCTCCGCCTGCAGCACGTGTGGCACAGGAGGTGCCTGGCACGGGGGGGGGGGGGGAGGAGGGGGAAGTAAGGATATCAGCAGGCCCCTGGAGTTAAGTAGAGGATATTATAAGCAGACAGAGTAGAGTGTTCAGAATGAACTGAAAGAGTGAGATGCTCCGCGACATCGCGGCTCAAGTCATCCAGAAAAGCATTCATAAGCTAACTCTGGTAGCGGAGCTGGCTTCGGTCAGCTCCACGCCAATCCCGGCCCTCGGCGCGCCGCCGCGCGCACGATCTGCGCCACGAGGCGCTCGACGGCTTCGGCATCCCGAAGCACTACATGCTGACCATCGGCACCTTCATCATTGGCGTGGTGTACCACGCCCTAGGCGACCCCGCGAGATTCCACGGCATTGGGTGCAAGAAGCTGTACGCAGACCACTGCATCGAGAACTACGACAGAGAGTTCCACTTCACGAGTTTCACATCCTTGGAGACTGACAGCTGGTATTCTAAAGACTCTACTCTGTTCTTCAACGTCAGCGACGACAACATGGCTGGTCAGGCTGACTACGACAAAGGCGGTCTTGGTCTCGAGGACTTCACCAAGAACGTTCCGCCGGGCTGGAAGCCCAACGT